CAGATGGCCTTGTTATATAATCATGTTTAACTGGATTAGACTCAACCATTGAATTTTAGGGATTCCTGACGATTACAGCTGTTTCTTCTCTGAAATGCTTTCACTCAAATAATGTATACAATGTACTGTTCTGGTCAACGCTAGTTTTCTAATGAGCACCAGTGAAGAAGCTTGAATACATCTATATTTTAAATAGGAGAAATAATTTTGGTGCCAGAAATGAAAATACTCATGGGCCTTATTTATGTCTGTGTGCCAATGACAATATTTATCATTAAGAAGTCTAAAATAATAGTGAGTGGCTAAGCAAGATGTTAGGAAAATTATCCCAAACATCATTTCTAGAGTAAAATCTCTGACTCTCCCCGAGTCTGTCCTTTATGCTGTATTTTTCTTTGGATCCAACTCAAAGCATCTTTAACATTCTCTTACCCACCCCCACCCCCATTCCTTTACCTTTTGTCACAAACAGTATTACAAAATCTTATCATTTTTTTTACATTTGTCAGTTCCTTCAATTATCATCAACCTTATTGAGCATATTTATATGAAATTAAATATTTTTAGATGACTAAGGACTTAAGAGGGAAAAGAATTCTCATTCCTAGGGCCAGAGAGATAGTATAAGGGTTAAGGCACTTCCCTTGTATGTGCCTCTCCTCAGTTCAATTCCTGGCATTGCTTATCATCCTCCAAGTTTCCCCAGGGGTGACCTCCAAGTACAGAGCCAGGGGTAGCCCCTGAGCACCTCTGGATGTGTCTCATTTTTCCCCTCCAAAGAATTCTCACTCCTCACTCAGTAAGTCACAGTTGTGAGAGGCAGGAGAAATATTTCACATCTTATCTCCACTTAGCAGTGGGAAATGGGATGGAATGAGAAATGAGATTCCTTCATATCGCATGACACCCTTGTGATATTAGGGTAGCTTCTACTGGCGATTCACAAGAGGACTTATGAGGGGTTCCCCTTCCAGCAAGTTCTCAAGACTCATGTGATCACTCTATCTATTTGTCTAGGACACAAAGAGTATCAAGTTTAGTAGGTGAGTGAAGTCTGAGACTGTGGAGTCTGAATGAGCAAAAAGAAATAATGACTATGCACAAGAAAAAGAAGAACTCTGATCTACATACTCACATTTGAAAACTATCACTCATTCAACTCTGTTCTCAGTATGCGCATTTTAAACACACAACCGGCCTCATTTTTGTATTACATGATTTCATTTCCTTTCTTCCCCAACCTGCTAGGATCTAATTTTACAGAAAAGGAAACTGAAGCTTCAGCGAGCTTCAGTGAGGTCTTAGGAAATATTCTCATCTTTTGCAACTGGGAAACAGGGCAGTCAAAATGACTTTTGCCTCCTTCCAGGAGTAACCATACTGGCAATTTGGAAAAAAGACTCTCAGGTAGGGCTTGATAATCTGAGATCGAGTGAAGAAAGTGCCTGAAATTAGCTCAAAGATTCTTATCAGAGGAGACAAGTGCACCTCTAACTTCTCTTGGCACCGACACCCCATAGTACAAACACCCCACTGCAGCATGTAGAAGTGCCCTGAGTGATAAGATTTGGCAGGGATGAACGAGCTGGTCCAGTGCCACCACTGGGGTTTGGGGCTTTATTGTTTCAGAGGCCAAATGGGTGATTTTGGTAATGTCCAGGCAAGACTGAGAGCCACTTGTACTAGCAGAAGACCAGGCACACACCAGCAGGGGGAAGTGCATCTGTTGAATGGCTTTTGCTTCTCATAGAAGGCATACCAATAAGAAGGCAGAATACTTAGGTTTGAAGGAGCAGGCTGCCAGAGAGAAAGAAAATCCCATTTCCTTTAAGTTCCAGAGGCACTGGTTTGGAAAGTCCCAAGACAGATCCCAGTGACCTAGGCTGTGGTCAGCATGCCACAGTGCCCTTTGGGGAGGTGAAAGGAGCTTTTTGCTCTTTCTTAGGAGAAACCAAGAAGACTGCAATCCTGTTAAGTGATGGGGTAACAGGGTGCCTAGGCGGAAAATTAACAGCAACTAAAGGAGGGACTTAGGTGGGCATGCCTAAGGGAAGTCTCAGAATCCAAAAAGAGTCTTCTAAGGGCATCAGATTCTCAATATTGGCATCACTTGGAAGGGAAAACTAGAAGAGGCCAAACTAGTATTAGGAACAGAACACAGAGACCTTTGGGTCAGTGGTCACTACAAGAACCAGTAGATTTGCCAAGAAGCTCGCATAAAGACCACAAAAGTCTGGAGTCAGCCTTCACCCAGCAGCTAACCATAGCTGAGGGTAGAGGTGGGCCACTCTACCGATCCCCAGCAAGCAGGCATAACTTTTGGACACCATTTTTGGTACAGTGGCCATGGCCAGAGCAAGGGAGTGTCTGAATTTTGAATAAACACTGAAATGAGTTAGATTCAGTCTGAATCTAAATGTGATACAAGCATAGGACTTTCTACCATAATGGACATGGAAGTGTGGGTGCTAAATGGAATTCATTTATAGAAAAGTGAGTTATGATACAAGTGACTTGTAGAGTTAGTGTAGCTTACTTGCAAATTTCAAACCTGCTTTCCTAGTTAGGAGAATCGGGTAGCCAATGTTAAGATGAAAATGTTTCTCTGAGTGGCCTTCTTTCTTTTTTGGGGGGTGGAGGCATACTCACTGATGCTCAGGGGTTAGTACTCCTGGCTCTGCACTCAGAAATTACTCCTGGTGGTGCTCTGCTCAGGACACCATATGGGATGTCAGGGATCGAATCAGGATTGACCACGTATAAGGCAAATACCCTACCTTAAATGACCTTCGTTCTGCAAGAAGATGCGTAACAGAAAAATGTTTTGGGGTCATAAAGGACAAGATCTCTCAGTTCCATCTAAGAGGCAGAATTGAAACCAGAGCTCACTGCAGATGAAATCTTTCTGAGTTCTTTCCTGAGAGATATGCAGATGAAATCTTTCTGAGTTCTTTCCTGAGGGAGAATCTGATGAAAGTGGCATGGGTAGCTGTCTCAGTAACATCACAGACAGATGCATGCACCCATTATCACCATGAGTTCACTTTTGCTTCTTCCAGCCCTTCTTTTAGGAGCCATTGAAGGAAACTGATGATCTCTCTTCTTGACTATGCCAAAGACACAGCCCTTCTGCTGGGATAAGACTCTTCACAACATAGTGAAGAAAATGAAGAGCAACAACTCTCTAGCACAACTTTATCCCCAAACTGCCACTCAGGAGTTGAATTGTATTGATGGCCCTGAAATCCTTGGGGAAGAAATCATACAAGGGACCTAGATTTGGGGATATTTCAAATACAATCAAATATATTATATAGGACAACTCCTCTCCCCAGAAAATACCACCAACCATCAGTGTGATCGGTATGATATAACCTTAGAAAATTTGTGTAACTAGATGCTCTAGAAAGTGGGACAGGTAGGGAGCAGTTGTTTGTCATATACAGGTGCCCAACTACATGGAAGTTCCTGTTTGACAAAAAAAATCCACCTGTTTTTGTGAGCCAAAAGAACTCTGCAACAGATTTTTGCTCTTGCAACTGAAGCAAAAATAGCTTCTGAAAGACTTTCAAAAGGCAGTGTACCCTGAGCAAGAGTGTTCTCTTCATGTCCCCTCCCTTCCCGTCAAACTCCTTCCCTGGGAACTATTTTTTGGAGACTTCATGTTTACCAGGTCATTACTGTTTTGCTGCTTTTACTAGATATTACTGTTATTTCAGATTTTATGTGTAATTTGGTAGGTTATTTTGGGGTTCTGGGAATCCTCAAAAATCTTTTTTTGTATAAATGAGAGGTAACTGCTTCTTCACTTTACATCATTTTGACTTGGGAAAGGTTTCATAGGAATGTGGCTTGGAAATTAGGAGGAACCTGTAATACTAAATCTGCCCTGTACCCTCTGTAGGGCTATGCTAATACCAGGAAAGATTTCAGGAAATTTATAGAAATATGTTGTGGTCTCTTTTTTTGCATAATCCCAGAGGGGAAGAGAAAGCCAAAGTATTGAAATTAGTGATGTATATTTAGGCAGTAAGTTTATTGGAATACGGCCCTAAACCAGAAAAAATTAAAAAATCTCTCCATATGGAAAACACCCTATTAGGGAGGAGATGGTGGAAAGAGATATGGTTTTAATAAATAGTTGAAGCCGTCAGTTAACTACTAATGATTTCTAAGTATTTATTGAAACCATCCAAAATAACCAACATAAAAGTAAAAGTTGAACCGTAAAACTGAGAAGCCTGATTTTTCTCTGCTAAAAACCCTGATTACAAAAACAATCTTCTAAGACAAATCCATATTTTCCTACAGCATGTACTAAACTTGAGTTATTTCTCTGTGCTTCGTTGAGTTTCCATGTGTTTTCAAAACGAATTAGGCAATCAACAATAGTTTGTGATTCCTCTCATAATCCATCTCCTTTTACTCAATGTGCAAATATCCAACCAATCTTGAGAGAACCCCCCCCCCACCCAATGTTGCTGAAAAATACTTCCACTCTGGAAATGTCAGCTTTATGGCAGAATCGTCAAGCTCACAATGTAATTAATAAGAAAAGGAACTTAAAAGGGGATTATGGGGTTACAGTGAATTGCTCCTCAGAAGACAGCTGAGGCAAGCGTTCTGTCAGAGGAGACCAAATTAGTGAGGGGGTTCAAATAAAAGTGTTTGTCGCAGTTTTGACAAGTTTTATGTCCAGTGCAGTTTCCTCAAAAGCCAATGTGCCTTTCTAGCATTTGTCTCTTGACAGGAAAGGGAGTGTTTGTTTTGTCTGGTTTCAGATTCTCATGAAAGCCACTTTGGAATCACATGTGTGCATGTGTGTGCATGCCAACACCCCCCCCCACACACACACACATACACAGACACACATGCACACACACATGCCATGGTTTACCTCGCCTGTACGAGAGAGACCTACTTGCACATGATGTATTTTCCAGAGAAGAGATTCTTTCTAGGAAGCAGACTGTCTCATGGGAGAAAAAAGAAAACTGTACCTGGGTAATCATTCTTGTCTATGTCTGAATCGCCTCTCAGAGTGAAGCCAAATCCGGAAGGGACAGCCTGGGAGGCCCAGGCTCCTTGCAGAATCTGGGAAGGCTTGGGGTTTAAGCCATCCTTGTTCCCGTTGTAAATGAGCACTTGTCCCCTCCGATCCTTGCCCGCAAAGGGGACGCCAATGGCAATATCTGCAAAGGGAGGGCAAGAGAATGTTTGACACAGAGAATGTTTCAGACACAGGATGAATCTCAAAGTTCCGGGCAAATCGAGTGCAAATGTGGTTAGCTGGCTTTCCCAGGGGTGCCCTGTAAAGGGGTGGCAATAGCATAGCTCTGGCTTTGCTCTGTCCAAGGGTGTGGGATGCAGTGCAAACAGCCGTGAGCCAGACTCTGCTAGGGAGAAGTTTCTGTCTCAGGGCTGGGCATAGCTAGTATGGATATGGACATAATCAAGACAAGGTGGAAGGTGGGAAATGTAACACAAGACACCTTAGACTTAGTGATGGGATGAATAATGATTGATTGTTAATTCCAATTAGACACCAGACCTGGTGTCTTTGCTGTTGTTTACTTATTTAAGTGAAGCAGCACAGTTTTTTGTTTTGTTTTGTTTTGTTGTTTGCTTTTTTGGGTCACACCTGGAGATGCACAGGGGTACAGAAGTTACTCCTGGCTCATGCACTCAGAAATTACTCCTGGTGGTGCTCGGGGGACCATATGGAATACTGGGAATCAAATCCAGGTCAGCTGCATGCAAGGCAAATACCCTACCTGCTGTGCTATTGCTCCAGCCCCAAAGCAACACAGTTTTTATGAAATGGAATTTACTTAGAAAGACATGAGGGGAGAGGAAGAGAGGAGATGCATGTTCAAGGGAGGGTGAGAAGAAGGAGAAGAGGGATGTATTGTTCAAAGTGAAATGCTGGGCCTGGATAGGAAGAACAATAGGTTTGAGTGTGGGCTTTGGATGCGGGCGGCCTAGTTCAAGCCCACCATGCATGTTCCCCCGGGCCCTGCCAGGAGTGACCCCTCCAAACTGGGGGTGAAGCTATTTAGATGTTTGTAAATAACTAATATAAAGTAATTTAATATTACTTTATATAGTAATATAAAGAACCACAATCCTGAAGCAAGAAATTAACACAGTTTCACTGCTGACACAAAGGCTAATTTGAAATGTAAAGACCAACTAAAATTAAACTTCCTCTACACATTATGATATAGTTTGATCGGGAGGCAAAGCACTTGGTAATATATCAACACACACGTATTTGTTCTCTGAAGGGAAAAAGCCAATTCACGAGTTCTCTGCATCACTAAAGCCAAACATTATCTTTCAAAAGACAACCTTTGCCTTTATTTAGAGCTCCTCTTCAATGACTTATAATCAATGTGAGAAAATTGTCCAGGTAACCTTCACATTCATCTAAAACACAGACACTTTCCAGGGCCTTGATCTTTTTGGCAGTTTATTGAGAAAATGGTCTGCAGAATCAGAGTGCAGAAACCCAGAGGGCATTGTCTCCTCTCTCTCTCTCTCTCTCTCTCTCACACACACACACACACACACACGCACCCACATATACACATACACGCATGCAGGCACTCCATCCACTGGCCCCAATTACCATTGTATCCATCCTGGTTCAGGTCTCCCAAATGTGCCACAGCGCTTCCGAATCTCCCAAAAACTTCAGAGCCGATGAGCACCTGTGGGTCTCTGAAGATGAGCGGGCTCACTTGCAGGTACAGATACACCTGCCCTACTTCTCTGGGGTTACTCTCAAACTCCCGCTCCATGAAGAGAGGAGCCCCAACCAGTATGTCGTCCATCCTGTGGGGAAGGGAGAGAGATGTCAACACACCAGCAGAAGGCAGTGGGTGTCATCCCCACTTTTAACCAACCCGATACAATTCCACTGGGATTCTTCCTTTATCCCCCTGTGACATTTTAGAATCATCCTACTTCTTGCATTGTTATGTTGTTATGTCTATGGAGTAGAATGCTGTAAGATAATAGGATTTGATAGAGGATGCCATTGCACCTTTTAGCTGTGCTTAAAAAAATAACTGCTCTAAGAAAACCACAAATATTTCAGCTTTTTAATGTGTCCTAGTATGGTCATGCAAAAATTGAACCAAAAGCCCTAAGTAGATCTTTCAAAAAGTAAAGTCAAGTTTGTCTATAATTTCTAGAACTCCACTTATAATGATGTTTTCTTGTAGTAGTAGCTTAAAAACCAATTTTTGTCCCCTTCATTTTTTAAAATAGTTATCTCTACTTAAATAAAACTAAGACCAGAGAGAATTATAAGAAGGCACAACTTGCATCCCAGATGAGATTCTAGAGTTATCCTCTATAAGTGTAGATATTATAGCAGAAAAACTAGTAAGTCATTTTTTTGGTTGAAAAATCAAGAGACAGACATGTAAGAAAATTAGTTGAACACAAAGACATAACCAGACTATAAGCAAGCAGAAAAAAAAGCAAAAGTGGTTACAAGTATTTCTTTCTCAGAGGTGGATGGACAGGAGGACGAATAGAACCATCTTCCAAACTTTATGGTTTTCTAAACAATGCATGTAGTGTTTTTTATTTTTCAAATTTTTAGAAAAATTTATCAACAGAATTCAATCTATGATCTTTACTAGTGGTGTCTACTAAAAGAAATGCCTTTAGATTCCCTCATCTTGAGATCTTGGATCTTAACATAAAGATTCTGAAAACATATGCCAAATTCTCTTTCAGACAGCATGCATGCTTTTCTGAGGCAAGAGAGAGGAAGATGGGAATGCAGTAATCTCAGGCAGAAGTACAAATTGGCTCTTGACTTTCTGTAGAAGTTCGGTGATATGCTGATGTTTGCCAGATAAACCACTTGCTAAAATATAATCATTGATAACAAAGGCAGAAGTGAGATGGGAGCATATACTGAGACAGGATTTGTCCTTTATGGGGTAATTGGCCTGCATCACACTAATTCCCATCCACTCCTCCACTCAACTGTTCCTCTTCCCTGTCGAGTTCATCCATTGTCTATCTCTTGCTACAATTCAAGAGACATCTGGCATTTCACTCCATTTAATTTACTGTGCTAAGTCACTTAAAGATGGACTATTATGTCAGCCCCATTTACTATTAATTTGCAAGTGAGGTCAAACTTTTGCTCCTATGATTATAAACGGGTGTGGAGGGGCTGGGAGTCTCTGAGGAATTTAAATGAAATGCCGGATATTGCATAGCATCTGAGTCAGCACTTCGAAGGAGCAAAGGGAGGCTGTAGAAGAAATGGCACTGGATGACTGGTGCACCTAGAGGTCAGCTTTTTGATTGGCAGTGCTGTGAACTGAGGTAAAGGTTTCTGAATGGAATCAGGAACAGTGAGAGGTAAAGGTGGATGCTAGAAAGTGCTGGAAAGATATTAGTGGTTTTTACTGACAAGTAAAATATACCCAGAATTCTCTAAATCAGTTATATTAAAGAGCAGTAATAATGTGTGTTAATAATGACATGAAATATGATTGTGTTGTCATTGTACATGACAACATATATGACAATAGGCCCTCAAAATAATTTTCTGTTCGGCATCATTTTACTAGAATGTTGATGAGATAGAAAAGAATCTTGGCTAATATTAAATGAAACAACAGTATTTAAAGTCTTGGTTTCATTATATGTTGTTTTGTTTAAAATCACCATTTCCGGGGCTGGAGCAATAGCACAGCGGGTATGGCGTTTGCCTTGCACATGGTTGACCCGGGTTCTATTCCCAGCATCCCATATGGTCCCCTGAGCACCGCCAGGGGTAATTCCTGAGCGCAGAGCCAGGAGTAACCCCTGTGCACCGCCGGGTGTGACCCAAAAAGCAAAGAAAAAATTTACTTTAAAAATAAATAAATAAATAAAATCACTGTTTCCAAGAATCTATTCATGACATTCAGAATGTACTGTTCAATGTATATCTATAAATATGTTTGTCTATTTGTATATACGCCTATATAGTATAGTTATATAATCAATATTATATGCATGTAATGCAGAATACAAATAATAAGAAAATAGACCATTAAGACTGAGCACAATATCTGAACAAACTCCTTGTCAGAACAAATATATAAATGGCAAATAAGCATTTGAAAAGATGCTCAGTATCATATGTTAATAAACACTTGGAAATTTAAACACCAACAAGAGATTTCTAAAAACCTATTCCAGTGACTAAATTTTTTTAAATGCTGGCATAGCACTAAGTGATTGTGAAGCTATGAAGCAAGCAAGGGAACTCTTGTTCCTTGTTGGTGGAAATGCAAAATTGTCAAGCCATTTTGAAAGACAGCCTGGCAGTTTCTACAAGTTAAGCTTATGCTTGCTTAAACTGTGCTCTTATGTAGTTACCACAAGAAGTTGGAAACATGTCCACACAAAAACATCCCATTACCCAAATGGGAAGCAACCAACATATTCAAGATATCCCCCATAAGTGAATGGATTAACAAACATTTGTACATCACACAGTGGAATATTATTCAGCAATAAAAATCAATGACCTATCAAGTCACAAAATGATCTGGAAGAACTTCAAACGCTCAACTATGATATTCTAGAAAAGACAAAAATATAGAGACACAGGGCTGGAGCGATAGAACAACGGGGAGGGCACCTTTCTTGCACATTGCCGACCAAAGTTCAATCCCCAGCATCCCTGAGCACTCCAGGAGTAATTCCTGAGTGCAGAGCCAGGAGTAATCTCTGAGCAGTGCTGGATTTGGCCCCAAAACAAATAAAACAGAACTAGAGAGAGTGACATTAAAATGATGAACTTGGTCAAAGTAGAGGACACAGATGGCTGGAACACAAGGCATGCCCAGGACAATGAAACTCTTCAATTTAATAGTATAAGTGATGCATGATATTATGCTTTTGGAATAACTCATCAAACTGTATAACACAACAAGTGAACTCCAATATTAACTCTTATTTTCCATTAATAATACATCAGTAGGGGTTCATTAGTTGTTACAAACCACACTAATGCAAGATGTTAAGAGAAAAATTGATGGAAGTGGAGAAATATGCATGAATATTTAACTTTCTACATACGTGTCTAATAGTAGTAGGGTTATAAAGGTTTTATGGTAATTATTAAAGAAAATGTACGATATTTTTACACTTTAGCAGTGCAAACAGAGTTTCTTCTCCATCTCCTCCTCCCCCAAGAAAAAAGCATAATACATTCCCTTTCTCCTTTTACTACCTTGTAAGAGCCAAAAAGTAGGCGAGACCTAACTTTGGTACGGCCTGGGGCCTTGAGCTACATCCAACTTCCTTAGGTGATCATTTATCTACTACAGCCACAGACCCAAGAGTTGGAAAAATGCCCTGAGTTTGACTTGATCGACCTTTGAGAAGGAAGTGGGTCTGGGCGTGAGGTGGGCCTGAGGAAAGGCTATTATTTTAGTCTCAGATTCCAAAATCCAAGTTGGATTGCTATACTTAGGTAAAATGTTTTCTTAACAATGTTCTAACTACATTTACTTAAGCAGAATTTCCATTGCTTGCCACCCTGTATACAAACGATTTAGATTGGTATTTAAAAATCTTGGTCTACAGTCCATCAGTGGACTGTGAAATAAATTTAGTGGATCCTGACTGTGCTCTAGGCTGAGAGGAAAGCAAAGATTTGGTCCTTCCCACCCTGGCCTTCCCTTGTAAGAACCTGATTGGCTTTCATAGTTCCAATTGCCAATGTAAAAGTGCATTTGTTAAACTTCTCATTGTGTGTGCGTGCACACACACACACACATACACAAACACACACACATGTGCACATGCGTACCAGGCGACCTCGTAGTTCAAAGACATCTAAAGCCATTAATTCTTTATTGACAAGACTGTCCTATAACGGAAGAACAAAGTAGTATAATTGGGCCCTCTGGGTATGATCACGAGGCAGGATCAACACAACAGGCTCACTACATTTCTCTCTGCCTTCACCAACTTCTAGGAATGGGAAGTTATCTGGTCTATCATATAAAAGACAGCAGCCCATCCACGGGCACTTCAGATTCTCAGAGTAGTAGGACAATCTTGATTTATTATTTTAGAAACGTATTTCCCAAGCTCCCGGGAGAGAACAAGGCAGAGTCTCCTACCCTGTGCCTGACTATCCTCACCAGGGCCCAACAGCTGAAGACCTCCGGGCCCCAGCCAAGGCCATGCTGGGACCACTCTCCACACACTTGCATGAGCCTCACGCATAAAAGAACTACCAGAGGAACCCAGGTGAGTGGGACCTGGGGCTGAGATCTCCAAGCCTGCACAGTTTGGGACTGTACCTGCCAGTAGCTAGACAGTTACACCCACCAACTGCCGTGTAACCCCAACAACGGTCAGGATCCAGAGATTATCACACTCAGCTCCCGGAAGCGTGCGGCCGCATTTGCGGCCGCGCGACATCTTATCATCTCATTCCTACTTTGGACAAACTGGCAGGCTACTGAATATAACCTGCCCACACGGCAGAGTCTGGCAAACTCCCCGTGGCATACCCAATATGCCAAATACCAGTAACAATGAAGGGTCTCATTCTCCTAACTCTGAAAGAGCCTTGATATGGCACTTTTTAGAAAAAATCTCAGGGCTAGGACGAAGGAGATGTTACTGGGGCCTGCTCGAGGCAATCGACAAATAACAGGATGATTGTGATTGTGATTGACTGATTTCCCAAGATATTTGAGTGTAATTCTTCTGAAATGTTCTAAATGCCAAAAAAATTAAAAAGGAAAACATTTGTTCTTAATTTATAATTGTATTCTCATAAGGTTGTGCGACAA